AAATCAAGTGAATAGGTTTACGTGAAACCTAAGTTGAGGTAGGCATACTGTCTCCCGAATGTCGCGATTGCCTTGCCGTTGGCTGCTTGAAGATTGAAGGATGGGTCAAGATGACGCTCCTCTGTCGTTGCTGGAAGAACGCTAACTTCTGCGCCGGTGTCGATGAGGTAGAGAACTTTCGTTTTAATATCTGTGACGCAGAGCAAACGGCTGTTTCCGCCGGCTACGATTGCCATGAACACGTGCCGGCATGACAGTTTCCTGAGTTTGTGTCCTTGTTAAAACTGCATGGTTTGCGACATTTTCTGGCTTCATCCCCGTAAGTGTTATGAAGCCAGCACCATCCAGGGTTTTCCACCCTGTTGGGTTTCGTTTTAGGGCTACCACGCGACTTGCTGCGATGCACCAAGGTGCGTTTCTGTGAAGTGCTACGTGATCTAGGACTTCGAGATGGTAGCAACTGTTAAACAGAGTTGCACAACTTGGTCACCCCTGAATCCTGGCTCTCTGGTTTGTCGAAGACAGAATATACGTTGGAGACGGGTCTGCTAGACATCTCCAGTATTTTATCTGCCGAGGCTGCCAGGTCGTCGAGTGGGACTGACTGCAGTGTCACCAACACGGTTTGCACCAGTTGTGGTAGTTTTGAGGGAAATAGTTCTCGAAAGAAACCATCGTCAAATGTTCGTGCACCGATTACTTCTCGCATGCGTGCGAGGACATCAGTAGTTGAGTGGCTGCCTAGCTCGATGTTACGAAGCAATTCGTCTAGACGTTGGCGATCTGTGAGATCGTTTTTCTTCAAGAGTGCGGCCTTTGGAAGTGCATAAGGGTCACTTGCTTCAGGATTAAACATGTTTGCTGTAACATACCTATTCAATTCTCGCGGTAGTGACCGTATGACAGCAAGAAATCGAGATCGAGGATCTGAGACACCCTGTTCTCGAAAATCGGCCTCGGCATACAGAAGCCATGTTTCTGCATTTTCTGGCCAATATGGCACGAGTTAGATAGTGTTCGTAGTCGGCTTAATACGAATAAGCTTGGGAGTGTGGTCGGGCATGGGAAAGTGTAGTAAATGGATATATAAATGTTATCGAAATGAAAACAATCAACAAATATAAAATGGAACAGGTTCACCAATTCAATACTTGTTATTGGTCGGGATATGTGATCACGTCGGGCTCACCAATTTAGGATTTGTCCTGGTGCGAACTTGACAGACACAAAGACCAGTCACTAATTATTCGAACTTGTTATATACCCACGAATACGAGACCAATGAAGAACACAATAGCGTAGTCGGATGGCACAGTACATTTGGGTGGTTGTGCAAAGATACCGATGCGTTCCAACTAACTGGTTAGAGAGTCTAGTACGAGCAGTGCAACTTAACAAGACGAGGATGCTTGACCGGGTGCCTTCAGCCTAGCGAGTCTAGCTAAACTATCAAGGTCAGCATCAATGTTGAATATCATCGAACCCTAGACTATTGATTTTGGGGAAGTCTGTGACGCTACAGTAGTATTTGTGAGATCGGAACTCGGCATACGTCAGTCCAGTTACTGATTTCCTATTTTCCAATAGTCACTCCCTGAAGGAGACATAAGCGAGGGATTTCTATGGAGTGACGGCCCCCTCAGTATGACCCGCGAAGTTAAAATGAGGTGGGTGGGTCTGAGATCGCCTAGAATTTGAATCCGTGTATGCCCTAGTTTGAGTAACTAAGTGGATATGATAGTTGTTTGTTATGCTGATAGTCCATAGACGTCTTTCTGTAAGCGACTTTCGCACTGGAGTTAGTAGTCTTAGAAAACTTGATGGGGCGTTTGATAGACTCTTCAGGACAGATGAATTCGTAAACGCGAGTTACAAGAGAAGAACAGACACACAATGCTGAGGAATCCCGTTACCAGCTTCTCTGTCTCGGGAACATGGCGTTACGTTGACAATCAGACGGTGATCCAAAATTTGTGAGGAAACCCGTATCCTAGTAACTCCAACAGGGTGAGGATTGGTTTGGCTACGGCTCTGATCTACGTAGCTCACCAGTCATACGGGGAAAAGTATGCTCATTTATGCGAATACAGCTAATCCGCCCCATATCTATTACACTCGGGGAGACCTCACTATCTCTATTTATTGATTGAATCTTTAGATATATATTCAAAGAGTTTTACCGAGGAGTGCACCCCATCCCTCCACATTCTAGGAAGTCTACGGAGGAGAGAAGCACTGTTGCATCATTCTGTTCCTGTTTTAGCCGTTCGTTTTGCGACCAACGAATTGCATAGTAACTTCGAATGCTATAACATTATGGTGACCAGGTGCTCGAGGCAATCAGCTGCTCTCTTAAACATGGGTGCACATATACTAATTTCGGGAAGCTTCAACCTACCCAAGGTTGACTTTGCAGATCATACGTTCAGCAGGAGCAAAGATTCCACTGCAGCCAGATTCTTCCATCTGACTGGGGAGCCGGAGCTTACGGAAAATAAGAAAACGGTAACGTGAGCGAGGGGGACTCAGAGCCCATCTCGGTTAGACTCCGGGTTCGCAAATAGAAAACTCCCAGCCAAAAACTTAGCGATCCTTCCTCGTCGGGCGGGAGTGACCACGTTGTCATCGCCTTCCAGGTTGTCTGTGAAACCAATCTAACCAGACCTTTCACTGCACGTCGTTGGAACTTCAGACGACTTAGCACTCCGGCTCCTCGAATCGCACTACAACAGACAGATTGGAAAGTTAACCGCACATGGCACGGTATGGACACCCATTGGAGATAAACACATGATAAGATCATGCACGCAGTCAGTCAGTCTGCTCCACCCTCAAGTCGCCTAAGGCAGTTCCGAACCACGCTCGCGAACTACTTAGGTTAAGCGAACACCACTGGGCTGGACACAAAAGGACTGGCACCAAATATACTTACAGACAATTCAAGCAGACAAGAAACATGTGTGATACGGCACCTGGAACCGATCGGCAGCGTCATCAAGTCAGGCTAACAAACGCGTTTGTTTCTAACCCGAGCAGGCCGTTCCTTTACGCTGCATCGTTCTGGCAGGCTAAAGCAGGAGTCTCAGCTACCGGGCGCTAACAAACTGACTGGTAGCAACAATGAAACAGCTGAGCTCCTGGCCGGCCAGTACCCGCAAGTATTTTCGTCCTCGTCCACCCACTCGGGAGCTAACGAATATCCAACTAACAAAGCGGGACTCTGGATTGTCGATCCAGGCGTTGAGCTAGTGAAGCACGAACTGCTACTGCTCACCAAAGACACCTCTCCGGGGCCAGATAAAACCCATCCGGCGGTACTGAGGGAGGGAGCTACAATCTTGTCCGAACCTTTAAACAGGTTGTTAAAGAATTCTCTTAGTCAGGGGGAGTATGCGATTTTTGGAAACTGGGTCAATCTTCAGCGAGGGCCAACGAAGCAATCCAAAGAAACACAAACCAGTGACGCTTCTGTTCATTCCTTCCAAAGTAATGGAGTCGTTAACATTCGATGAACGGAGGGCTTACCTCACAACGATCAACTCCTTGGCGTCCCGACAATATGGATTTCGAAAAGGGCACCCTTACATTACCAGTCTGCCCACTGCAGTAGATAGATGGACACGCATCATTGACTGTCTAGGATGAAGTGATGTTACCTACCTAGACTAAAGCGTTTGATCATGTTGATCACAAGCCTTACTGGTAGATTGAAACCAATCGGGATTCGTCCTCTGCTCACTGACTGGTTGTCTTCACATCTACGAGGCCGTTCATTTAGAGTTCGAGTGAATTTCTCCATGTATGAAGAGATAGAATATCCTTGTGGTGTTCCTCTGGGTCCAGTACCAAGACCTCTCCTCTTTCTAATATACCTAAATGGCTTGCCTCGACAGTCTTCTTCCGAAATCATCCTTTTTGCCGACGATGTGAAACTACGGACAGAAATCAAAAGTGAAGAAGACAGTGTTTCCCTACAGGAAGACTTGACCTCAGAACTGGGCAGTCAACGACGGGCTTGCGTTTAATCCTGAGCAATGCAGGGTGATGAATATAGAACACGATGTATCTCTTGTATATAAACTCAACGGCACGAAGTTTGAAGCGTTACTGAGAGAGAAGGATTTAGGCGTCTCAGTCCTTCAAGACTTAAAATTCTATGCCAACTGTGACAGAAACACATTTCGCAGAAACCTGGCGTTAGTAACTCCTAGACGAATTTTCGGACAGTTCGATAGCAGATGCTTCCGCCAAACTTTCAACAGCTTCACACGGCCTCACCCAGAATTCGAGACCATCGTCATCCCCCTTTCTCTCCGGAAGGACAAACTAAGCTTAGAATGCATCTAGAGGCACTCGACAAAATCTGTTTGAGGAAGTAGGTCTAAAATACACGCAGAACGACTGGTTGCACCGGCTCTGTATCATCTGGAATACAGAAGGTTTAGAAGAGACTTGATAATGACTCACAACATTCTGAGCACGCCTGGCCACCCACCCCATCACTTATTAAATCTTATCTGCGGCACTGGTCTTAGAGGACACGCAAAAACGAAGCTTGGAACGTAGCAGGTTAGACGTCAGGCATAACTTCTATTCCCTAAGAGTTGTTAAGTCCTAGAACGCTTTTCCTGAAGATGTGATCTAGGCTACTTTGTATGAACCCTTTAAACGCCGAATGGATACCTATTTGACAGGTGACTGGAATCTGCCCTGGACTAATTGAATTTTCACATTTTAGCCTCCACTTTTCCTCCTTCTTTACTTGTACACACGTTAACAACCACAAGAAGTAGTGATTCATGGGATGTAGACACGGGGACCAGTTAAGCGAAAGCCTCTTTTATTCCGAAAACAACCATTTAAATCATTTGCACATACTCGCTTATTTGGTATTCTTATCAATAAAGATCCCGTACTTATGATTGATGGGTTTTCACTCACATTTAGATTAAACTTTTTTATCGAAGGTAGTATCTTGATGCTTGCTGAGTCCTCTGTGACACGAAGTTGTTTCCTATTTTGACTTTGTTCAATCATAAGTTTGTTTTAGTTGTTTCCTACTTTCCTACCACGCGTTGTCTTACGCATAGTATCATAGTCAAACACTTTTGCCAATGACATCTACTAACGGTACAACTGAAATCTCACAGGCTGATAAAAATGTGGAAATGTGGCGAATCAAGAAGTTAATCAAAAGTTTGGAGTCCGCTAGAGGGTACGTTGCCATAACCTGTTTCACGCGTCAGTAATGGGACGAGCATGATTTCACTTATCATTCCTCCGAAAGATCAAGTGACTCGGGTGGCTAAGTTACTGGCTGAGGAATATGGTACCGCGTCTAACATTAAGAGTAGAGTGAATCGTCTGTCTGTTCTGAGTGCCATAACATCTGTACAACAACGCTTGAAGCTTTATACTAAAGGTAAACGACTGTCTAGATAATCTACTTCAGTTCCCACTAATGGCCTTGTTGTATATTGTGGAACAATAGTAACTGAAGACGGCAAAGAGAAGAAAGTCAATATCGATTTTGAACCGTTCAGACCAGTCAATACGTCTCTGTACTTATGCGACAACAAGTTTCATACAGAGGTATGTACATGTTCTCCACACTAATGGGTCATAGGCTCTAGTTGCTCTACTGGCAGACGATAGCAAATTTGGCTTCATCGTCGTTGATGGAAACGGTGCACTCTTTGGTACGCTATCAGGTAACACTCGGGAAGTTTTACACAAGTTCACCGTGGAGTTGCCGAAAAAGCATGGTCGAGGAGGTCAATCTGCGTTGCGTTTCGCGCGTCTACGAATGGAAAAACGGCATAACTACGTCCGCAAAGTAGCTGAGACAGCAACTCAACTCTTTATTACGAATGACCGTCCTAACATCGAGGGCCTTATTCTTGCAGGTATTGCTGATTTTAAAAGCGATTTAGGGCAGTCTGACATGTTTGATCAGGTTTGTTGGTACGTGTATAAAAATAATGTTCCCTTTCAGAGACTGCAGGCCAAACTCATTAAAATAGTGGATATTTCATATGGTGGGGAGACCGGATTTAACCAGGCCATTGAACTGGCTACAGATGCGCTCACAGGTGTAAAATTCATACAGGAGAAGAAGTTGATTCAAAGATATTTTGACGAAATATCTCAAGTATGTAGTGCTGTGTATATTAATATCACGTGCAGGACAGCGGCAAATACTGCTTTGGCGTTGAAGATACGCTGAAGTCTTTAGAAATGGGTGCAGTTGAGACTCTTGTTGTATGGGAAAATCTGAGTGTTAATCGCTATGTTCTCAAAGTTCCAACCTGTGAAGGTGAGTGAAATAAATATACCCATCACATTAACTGGTCATTGAGTCACGTCCAGCGTAGTTGTCAGTGCTAAAGTACACTCACAATCGCAGCGACGGAAAGTGATGATGGACTGTATAGAGTCTCTTTCTCGAGGGAATTGATACTTATACTGTCCTGAACTATGCTGCATGACGACCCCTGAATTCTGGCGTCGTCGTATGCTTGTTCATACATATCCTCAACTCGTCACCGCATTATCCTGTACGCTAGAAACTGCTTACAGGTAGTACAGGTGACGTACATTGAAATGTAATTGTGGACCATTATTGATGCACTACTCAGAAGTGAGCTGTTGCACAAAGGCGTGGTCTGACATTCAAAACTGGACGTATTTTCACGTGTTATTTCTCCTTCTAGAAAACAGGATCATTCATTTGCGCCCGGATCAAGAAACAGACCGTCGATACTTTATCGACCCTGAGACAGGTGCCGATCTGGAGATTCTGGATACTCAACTTCTCTTAGACTGGCTTGCACTGAATTACAGGTCCTTTGGAACAACATTGGAAATAGTGACGGACAAGTCTCAAGAAGGAGCCCAGTTTGTTCGTGGTTTCGGTGGAATTGGTGGTAAGTTGTGATTTGCTTTTAAATCGAGCGTGTATTTCGTGCGTCAACACCAGAGCAAATGTGCTCTAGGTTTGACGTGCAGTGATTTTATGTTTCAGCTATTATCAACCAGTCTATATCACCGATATATGTACTTGAAAGTTCATCCCCTTGAGCTTACTTTTAATACTGTGTGAATTGGATTGTACTAGCAAATATATGACACCAGCAGTTTGAACGAGTCTTATTTTGAAATATATCCGTTCAGTACATTACTGTTTTACTATTCAACTGCTAACAACGTTGTTGAATGTGCTAACGATTGGTTTAGTTGTTTGATGTCCCGTACTATTCTTGATGGCAATGCAGATATATTCACCTATAAATTCTGCCTTTTACACTTACGTAGAACTCGGAGCGCATAACGGATCTGATATTGCTGGAATTTTCCTGTTGTTAATCGCCTGGTAGGGTGTGATTACCGTAGTGTTAGAATCTAGGTTAGAAGCAGTACCGGTGAATTGTCATGCCATAGTAAATTGTCAAACGAAATTCCTACGGTGTCTATGATTACTTCTGTGATTTTATCTTGCAGGTATTCTGCGTTACCAAGTTGATTTCAACCATCTGGCAGGTGGTGATGTTGATTATGAAGATGACTTTAATCTTGATGATTACTGACAAACCAGTCTAACCTGCGGTTGGCGCAGGTTACCCTACGGCCGCTCATCATGGTTGCAAAGCAGACCTCAAAGGATTATTCTCAAGGATGATTTTTGCAGGATTCAGGAACTAACCAAGTTAACATCTTAATTTCCATCCCTGTGTTATTATAAACCATTCATCTAAGTAAAAATCGTTCTTTTGCTGTTGTCCAGCTTGACCACTTGTGTTAGTCTCGCAGGACCTCACTTTCGCACCGAATCCCGAAATTGGCGCAGCGTTAGTATGGTCTCGAGTTAAAAGTTTACGGAGGCAGCGATTGTATACGTAGTCTTAACCTCTACCCCGGCATTCGCATATCAGGATTTGTGTATAGATGTGAATGCTATCTCTGAAAAATGAACCGAGCTTCGCACAATTATTGCTACCTATTACATCCGCCAGCTTACTATGGTTTTCGGTTCCTAAGTCAAGGGCAGCGACTGATTATATTGACAAAGAATTGTATGCCAATCATGAATTGGTTTTGTGAAAGTAGCATTGAAAATGTAAAAGGAGATAGCTGTGAGCCCTACTTTGTCCATTGTCCGCTTTCGAGTTGAGATGTGCCCCTAATGATTCCGTCTGCTCTTAAAGAAGTGGGTCTGACAGAAAATTCCCTGGCTGAGTTGCATCGATTACAATGTCAGTCTTGTCTGTAAAGAGGGAGGCTAGCTCGACGAATCCTCAGAGCTGGGTAACTTACGATATATCGTCTGGTGACTGTTGTAGTTGGGATGATTTATCCACAGAACTCGAGTCACTTTCTGCATAGTTGTGGCATAACCACGCCCGGTGTTTCAGACTATTTATTTTCTGGTGTAGCTGCCACTACATAGTTATCAGCTGGCATGCTGGATTAACGAATACACAGTTGCATTTACTGAGTTTTATTAGCTACGGTTGGGACTTATCATTCACAGTCTACAGCTGATGGTTCTGTTACGTCCTGGGGCCTCTCGAAAACAACTTAAGATTTCGTCCACAGTGTTATATGGAAAAAAACAGTATCCTTGTGATTTAAACATCCTGGTGGTCACTTGGTTTCTAAGACATCTCTAGTAACATTCCCGGCTGTCTTTACGGACGGTGCTGGGGGAGCTGGCTGGTTATTGTAGGCATGGGACCTGCCGGTACTGCTTGGATGACCGTGCTGCCGAATCTGGAGCGTGCTCGTTAGAGTAAGGAACTAAAGACGAAAGCGGTAGTGCCACCCCCATAGTAAAGGACAGTCTACTGGGAGTGAGTGTGGTCCGCCGATAGATTACAGGTCATATCACATAGAATTTACATTTACTGTGCCTCGCGAACTCGAGCCTGGAAGTCAGCGATTCCCAGCATAGTTTGGACCAACAGTCAGATGCTTAGGAAATACATTTCTGAGGAAGGTAGTGTGTAGCTCGTCTGATTTCGGCTTCTAATTAAGGGTTAGCTGTCGCACTCATCTGCAGGACTCTGGGTTACTGTTGTGCATATTGAGGATGTCATGAGTATTGACTCAGGACGGTTTTAGAAAAGTCATCGTACCATCGTGAGGTAAACTTAGTCTTCTCCAGATTATCGAAAATTTGTTGAGCAAGTGCCAAAGTTTCCTATCTTAATACTAACTTATTGTTGTCTAAACACATCGAGTTGATAGATTGTCAGTCTGAAGAGAAGTTGATAAACTTTTTGCAGTCTGAAAGTTTTCGTGTCCATTTGTTAATTAACTCAAATTTTTATTCACAGACTAAGGTAGTGGTTTTCAGATGATTTCTTTACGTACAAACTGTCGGAATCCTACGTACCCTCATGGATCTGTTCGTGATATTACTTCCAATGAGACCAGGAAATATCTTTTGATTTTCTGAGGAACAGTATCACTACTGTTCATATTATTGAACTGGTGACGCCAATTGGGATTGAAAAACTGTTTCGTCAAATGGGAAAGAGGTATCTATAACGAAAAAGAATGGAGTAATCATAATTGTTCAGAAAGTGTTGCATTTGTAATTCCTTTTACGGTATGTTCATATTCCGTCTACCACTAACCGCATAATCCAACATTAATCCATCAACCCATTTCGGAAGTATAGATTTTATTGTGGCGCTGTGGCTCATTAGTTTAGGAAGTTGACTTACAACTACTAGGTGGCAGGTTACAGTCCCACTCCACCTACTGAAGTTTGGGCAGCCAGCACACACACCAGCACAACAGGTGTGACTCAGTGCCTGATACAACTGTATGCACAAGGTTCCTGAGTCCATTACACCTGCAGACTTGCACTGTGTAGGTAGCGCAGCTTAGTACTTGAGAAATAATTTGGCATACACAGTTATGCTTTATGTAGTCTACTCCCCGACTGGTAGCATATCACAGTGACCCAACGAGCTATGCTGATGAAACACTTGTTCCCTCGAGGTTTTATCATACCAGAAAGGTCTGTTGGATAGTGTTTAGACGAAAAGCAGTTACCGTTGTAGTGTAAATTACTACACTATGATGGGGGTCTGAGGGTGAAGTCGTACTGCTGCTAGCTGGATGGGGTGTGACAGCAGTAAGGTGTTTCCCTTGCACGACCAGCAGTGCCGTGCTGATGCTGCCTACTCAGTCGAAAAGGGGGTTCGAAAAAATCGGCCCCAAAAATAACACACTCCACCACACCCCACGGTCTGCCGGGCCGGCGGCATTGGTTCACTTGTCGTTTCCTTTCCACCATCCGGCCCCAAAAATACAAAAGTTCAAAATAATCATAAGAGGCTGGGTGTGACAGGCCTCAAGCAGATGTCCGATGGGCTCTGCGGTCACACAAATCTCTTTCAGGTACCTTAAGAAGAAATAGCCTTCCACGGTGTGGGCAGCCGGGAAGTGTCAACCGCCCTCACAACTCTGTCAGCACCCAAGTTTCTTCTGACTGCTATCCTCCTCCTCCATCATTACCTTCTAATCTTCCTTCACGTCTCTTAATTAATGATGCTGCATCATCTTCAATTTCTCCTACCTCTGCAGCCTTCGACAACGATCTGAGTCCACAGAACAGCATCCTGGTCTCCTTAAACCACGCTCCAAATTACATATTGGAGCCTTCAATGTCCGCACCCTCCGTCAAATTGGCCAACAGGCTTCGTTAGCAAAGACTCTAGCAACTCGGGCATGGATATGTGCTGTGTTTGTGAGACACGCATACAGGACCCAAGTGTGGTTATTCACCTGACCTCTCCTGACCAATCTGGTGAATCTGCAAAATTCACCCTTCGAGTTTCTGGAGATTCGATAGCTAGCTCTCGTGGTCTTGCAGGTGTAGGTATAGCATTAAGCACCAGGGCAGAAAACTCACTACTAGACTGGATCCCAGTTGATAGTCGCCTCTGCGCTATGAGGCTGAACGGCACAGTGAGAACTAAAAGGAATAGTGAGACTCGCCGTTGTCTCTTTGTAATCTCTGCTTACGCACCCACTGACTGCAGCTCGGATGAAGTGAAGGACGAGTTCTACCATAAACTGTCTAACCTCCTCTCGAAAGCCAAACGTTCGGACATGTTGGTTGTTGCAGGTGACCTCAACGCACAGGTGGGTAGACTGAGTGAGGCAGAAAGGCACTTAGGTGGCACTTTCGGAATCCCAGCTGAACGTACAGATAACGGTGATCGCCTATTACAACTATGCTCAGATAACCGCCTATTTTTAGCCAGCTCCAATTTCAGACATAAAGAAAGACACTGTCTGGCGTGGCGTCCACCGAGCCCAACTCAGTGATGGACACAGATATACCACATTGCTATCAGTCATCGCTGGAGAGAATCGGTGGGAGACTGCCGCTCCCCTTCTGAAATACGTGTCTGGATAGCGACCACATGTGTGTGTCTCAAAGGACATAAGAAAAATTTGGCAGCAAAACCAGTACCACAACGAAAACACCAAAGCCACGTTCAGTGAGAAATTGGTTAGGCAGTTGTCGGAACAGAAGACTGTCACTCATCCCGAAGAAGCTTGGTACCATCTTCAGTCTGCTGTAGAAGCAGCACTGAATACTGTAACCAACACCAAAATAGTAGCTAGAAAGAGCCAGTGGATATCAGCAGAATCTTCCGAACTAATGGATGCACTTGAACGCATCCATGCCGGCTCTGAGTACAATGAAGAGGGAGCGCAACTTAAAAGTAGACTGAGAAAAAGTCTACACAACGATCGCGAACAGTGGTGGGCAGCAAGGGCTAAAGAGATGGAAAAGGCAGAGGCGATTGGTAATAGTAGACAGTTATTTAGACTTATTAAGGAGACTGGGGCGAAAAGGTCAACTGTGGTTAGGGAGGCTATAGTGGAGAAGGATGGATATGCGATCCACTCGCAGGTGAGACGACTGGAACGATGGGCAGAACACTTGGAGGAATAGTTTAACTGGCTTCCAGCCACCATTGCATTGCCCGCTATCCAGTCGGATCCTGAGTGGGACATAGAGATAGGTCCCCCAACACTAGAAGAAGTTGAGAAAGCGGTAGGTAACCTGAAACGGGGAAGGGCAGCAGGACCAGATGGACTAACTCCAGAGGTATACGAGAATGGTGATGCAATGCTCTTATTCAGGTTAACGGAAATGTTAGCTAGTATATGGGAATCAGATATGGTCCCCTCTAACTGGTCAAAGTCACTGAATATTCCAGTCTTCAAGAAAGGCGAGAAGTCCTCTTGTGATAACCACAGAGGAATCAGCCTGAAGAACATAGTGTCCAAGATCCTAGGTTCTATAATTATTCGACGCCTGAGTGGAGCTCGGGAACAGCGAGTCCGAGAAAACCAGGCAGGCTTTAGATCTGGCCATGGGTGTATCGATCAAATATTCACACTGCGCCAGGTCCTGAAACATGGGAACGCTCACCGATGCCTGACACTAGCTGTATTTCTTGACCTGAGGACGGTGGCATTCGACTCCGTTGATCAAGAAGTCTTATGGCAATGTTTGTCACTGAAAGATGTGCCGAGTAAGTACATCACCTTATTGAAGGCTCTCTACTCAAACACTTGTGGGCATGTTAGAGCCTACGGCGAGATATCCAGGGAGCTATGCTCATCAAGTGGTGTCCATCAAGGGTGCCAACTGCCTCCATTCTTATCCAATCTTATCATAGATACTCTTATGGAGGTGTCCTTCTCGTCACCAGGTTACACAGAGGTTGACCTAATCACAGGAGAATTTTCGTTAGACCTAGAATATGCAGGTGACATAGTCCTGTTAAGTGAAGACGCTGACAAGATGCAGAGTCTTCTGAACACTTTGAGTGGCAGTTTAAGAATGTTTGGGATGCGGTTCTCACCACCCAAATGCAAATTTTCGCTCCAGGACTAGTCTTCAGCTGTACCGCGGCTAACAATAGGGAGTGAGGTGTTCGAGTGTGTCGACCACTTCACTAACCTTGGGAAGTAGGATCAACCTTGGTGGGTCAGTGGTCGATGAAATCTCTGCACGGATACAAAAGGCTCAGCTGTGTGTCGCCAACTTACGTTACCTATGGCGCCGCTGGGATATCCGATTGTCTACTAAGGGTTGTGTGTACTGCACAGCAGTCTGGTCTGTTCTACTGTATGACTGTAAAACATGGCGATTGAAGACATGACAAGGCTTCAAGTGTTTGACCACCGTTACCTTCGTAGTATAGGCTGTATTCCGTGGTGTCACCATGTGAGTAATGCAGAAGTGAGGTGTAGAGTTTTAGGGAGAAGAGGTAAGTCAGTTGACGAGGTTATGAACTTTCATCGACTGAGATGGCTGGGACACATACTACGTATGCCCGGTCACCGATTGCCTCGTCACACAATGTTGGCTGAGGTGGGTCCAGGCTGGAAAAAGGCTCGAGGTGGCCAGACTAAAACATGGCATAAATGTATGAAGTGTTTGACTGTTGGTTTAAGCCATGTGGGGCGATGCAGACTAGGTAGTTGGGGTCCGCGGGACAAGAGGAACCAGTGGTTGGAGACTGACTCCACTTGATCACATGGCTCAGAACCGATATCAGTGGCGCAGATGTATATACACATTATCGTCATCTTAACGACGCTGTACCGAATCTCACCATTTGCTCATTTCTCCTTTCTTTCTTCTCGTACTTAATATTTCTTTTGACTGCATTCACTTATCTTCATCCTTCACCTCACTACCTTTTTACTTGATGTGCTGATATGAGGTGTGGCAACTCGGACCGTTACGCAGTAATAGCTTGTCCTATGTTGATTTTGACTGATTGATTGATTGATGTAGTCTACTCACTGAATGTTTGTAAATGTTGATGATACTATTTGGTTTCTGACATTGGTAAGCACCATAAGTTGTCTGAACTCCCGAATCTGATATTCTCTTTCTTTTTACAAATCTCCACTGGCTTTTCTTTTAAGTTGAGTATTTGTCTCTATGGCAAACACTTTTTGATAAAGAGAGAGACAGTCTGTATATGATCTACCTTAAAGTGTTAGCCAACTATGCTTTATGAGTGAAAAGATTCAACAAGACATTATGGAACTGGGTTCCCTGTTATGTTTGTGCATCGGTTGAGTTTACTGTTCCAGTTCATTCACTATTATGGCCAGTGCGAACAGAACTTGGAAAAGGGTACTGAATTCATTATTTGGAGGTAAATCAAAGTGGAGGAACGAAAATAGAATGTTGCTCCCTGCAGAAAATACGGGTGATGCACGCGTTGTTAACCTCAAACACTACCCTTACTGGGCCGATAAAAGTTCCCATGAAAAATGACTGTCTAAGTACTCTGCTGGTGAGGTTGAATATACTGGTATTGCAAATCGATTCTTTATGTAAACAGATTATGTACTTCATATTTAGTGGCAAACGCACGGATATGATGATGAGGCAACCATGCTTCTTATATTATTATCTCTGAAGTCTGTCTGTATTAGTAAAGATGGAAGGACAAATCAGGCAATCAAATGATGTCCGACCATTCGCTGACTCCACAAGTATGCTCGAAACCACCTACCAACTTCACGGTAAACTAAAGAATCAGACCAGTTTCAAAACACTATCGTATAAACAATGCGACACGGACAAATCATTACTTTCTTTATTCAATATCTGTTTAACGAGCTTGTGTAAACCAGTTGATTTCTTCATGCTGGCTTCTTGGTCTTGCGGGACGGTTCCAGATCTTTGGCGGATTCCGGTTCACTAGAACTAGCCACTCGTCTGCTATAGCTGTGGTATACACAACAGGAGTGTTAGTTAGTTTGCCTGGGACTATGGTACAGTTGGTTTCTTCAGATGTTGAGATGCTTGACAGTTGTTCGGACTGGTTGTTAGAGAGAGTTAGGGATAGTGAAGAGATAACCTAGGAAGAAAAATGTGTGTGAACAAATAATAATAATAATAACTTACTACGATTACACATATCCTTGACATTCAAGTAAACAGGCCATGTGCAATCAATCAGTCAACATAGGACAAGCTATTACTGCGTAACGGTCCGAGTTGCCACACCTCATATCACTACATCAAGTAGAAAGGTAGTGAGGTGAAGGATGAAGATAAGAGAATGCAGTCAAAAGAAATATTAAGTACGAGGAGAAAGAAAGGAGAAATGAGCAAATGGTGTGATTCGGTACAGCGTCGTTAAGATGACGATAATGTGTATATACATCTGCGCCACTGACATCGGTTCTGAGCTATGTGATCAAGTAGAGTCAGTCTCCAACCACTGGTTCCTCTTGTCCCGCGGACCCCAATGCAAAAGTATAACCAAAATGTTGTTGTATTTTATTGGTAAGTAGAAAAGAATATCCAATATAGGTTTTAGAGGGACATAAGTTCTTCCTACTCCATACTTCCCATCATGTCAGTAAAGAATGATTTTGCTAATGATTATATTACTTTAAAGAAGATGTCAGCGATTGATGGTGTGTTCTGTACGACCCCTTTTAAAAAATGAATGCAAATGTGGGTGCATAAGAGTTTGATTTTCAGTTATAATAACAACCTGCATGTAAATCTACTTTGATAAGTCATCAATCAAAGAAATTTCTGAGTTATCTAAAAATATTGGCTGTCAAATTTACGATAAAGCAACATACTAGCAAAAGTATTTTGACGATAAAACATATAGACGAAATCAGCGTAGAATCTCAAACAGAAGTGCATCGGTTCAGGTTGCCACACTTCATACCAGCATCCAAGGAACAAGTGTGTAGAAAAAGAGTGATATCAAAGTAGACAATGATGTATGGAAGGAGAATAAAGACTGAAGGTTACTGAAAGTGTTCAAGCTTCTGAAGACATCAGAGAGTGAATACATCTGCACTAAGCTTTAATTGTCAGCAAGAATATCAAACTACTGGCTCATATAATTTGGAGGACTCCAACCAGGCAGTCTACACCTTCCTATATGGTTCAAACGAGCGGTCAGGACCTGCATACATTGTTATTACGTCTTGGTCTAGCCAGTCTAACAGCGGCTAATATTTCATGTCTAAGTTGTCGATAGCTCATCATGCGAAATATACATCAAAGTCACCTCAGTCAGTGCAAAGTCATAATCCCACTGACTGACCTGCATTCCTTGTCCAGTACCCTTCACTCAATCTGGACACCGCTAACACGGTCATTCGACCATATATGTGCAGTTCTGCCATGACATTAATGTTAAAAAATCTGTAATGTTTTCAGGTCTACTTTCCACGTCCGTCTCACAGTCGTATAACGTGACATGGAACTCTAGAGCAATAAACTCGTTAAACAGAGTTTGATATTTTGGCTGCACAAGAGATGATACAAGTTGGCAAATGTCAAACGGGTTTTTTGTATCCGAACTGAAGTAGGTAAACAAATTCTACCACTTGACTTCTTATTGTTAAACTGGAGGTGCCCACAGACCAGTCCTATATCATCGTCTTACATCTGACAAATGCGAAGACAAAATGTGTTAAAATTGTAAAAATGTCATTTTGAGCAGGACATTAAGTATTACTCATCTACCAACTGCTTCAGTTCAATACATCTGATAAAAAAAAGATGCAAATGATAATAAATGCCTTGAAATCCCTTCAGACAATGATAAAATCCATTGGCTATTCTTTCAAGCAGCTTACAATATCCTGTAGTCAGATTATTAGTGCAGTTACAGACTTTTTGATTTCATTTCTTCAACTCAAAACTAGCTACTAATCCTCCAAAAAGTGTAGACGAGCATCGGCTGCGAGTAAAACTGCTTGGAGCTTGTAAGAACGTCCTTTTAATATAAACACTAGGTCTTTGTTAGCTTCCTGCAACTTTTTGGCGACCGTCAGAGCATTCCGGCGGATAGCTAGTACAATAGTTTGCGTAAGTCTCTTACGTGAAAGATTAAACTACACTTACACAAAGACCTTGAGGCTTGGTGGTCGGAAAGCGCAAATGAAGTGGAAGCAATAGCTGCATCTGGCAATAGTCAGGAAGTGTTCCAGCTTATCTGGGCCACTGGCTGTAAGAAACCGGGTGTTAGTGAGACAGTTCGTGAGGTAGATGGTACGCAGATAAACAATCTCCAAAGACACCTGGAAAGCTGGGTGGAGTACTTCGAAAACCAGTTTAGCTGATCCATGGCTTCAGCATTGTCACCTTCGGTTTATCATACTCTATGGTCAGTTAACACTGACTCACCTAACGAAGCGGAGGTCTATAAGGAAATCCAAGTTCCGAAAAGCCACAAGGCACCCGGCCTATACAACTTACCCCCGGCTCTTTTAAAGTAGGGATGAAAGCTCTAGTCAAGGAACTGACTAGATTGTTTGAGAAGGTATAGCAGATAGAGTGTTCCATCACTCTGAAATGAAGCCATAAGTATCTCCATCCTTAAAAAAGTTCTGCGTAATGTATGTGACAATCATTGGGGTATTAGCCTGTTACCGGTCTCGTTGAAAATATTGGCTGTTATCATACCTCACAGACTTTGCAAAGCGCATGGGGAAAAGATTCGCGAGGAGCAGGTGGTGGATGCATTGATCGATGTATTTACCCACCGCCATATGCTTAAACATGGTCAAACGTATTGAGGGCTAAAAATCGTTGTGTTTCTTGACATTAGGGCTGCTTTCGATCCGTTGAACAGAGCTGTACTCTGGAACTGTCTGTTACAAAGGGGTGTTTCTGAGAAGTTTATTAACATCCTGAAAGCCGTACATAAAAGCGACTCAGGTAGAATGAAGGCATACAACCATCTGTCTCCATTGTTCTAAACCAGTAGTGGGATTAGGCAGGGTTGCCCGATTTCCCTATTTCTCTTTAATTTTGCCAACGATGACATTCTTGAAATAGCCCTGAAGGAGGTGCATGATAGTGGTGTAGATTTGCTACACAAAGAACGGCTATTCGGTTCTGAATATACGGACGATATCGTCTTACTGTACGATAACATAAAGGCTACTGAGATCGTATTTCATCAGTTGGCAATTAGTGTTCGTGAGTATGGTATGTACTTTGCACCATCGAAGTGCTAAGTAGTTTTGCAAGATTGGCAGGAGCCTGTACCTGGGGTGGCACTGAAGTGTAAGTAATTCTGAGGTACGACAGCGTGTATTTGGGTATGATGGAGATCGTCTGTCAATAAGCGAAGTCATCTAGAAACACCGGCTTTGGTGGCTTGGAAATGTGTTATTCGTGTCGTCACAACGGCTTGCATACCGTTCACTGTTTGCTAGCCCTGGGACTGGATAGAAGAAATGGAGGGGTGATCAGTGTATGACGTGGCGCTGTAGGATCAAGAACAGTTGTATCGGATTAGCATCTGTTGGTGTATCACAACTCTGGCTTGAGACGTTATCAGATATGGCTCGGAATCGAAAGCAGCGACGATCATACTCTAGTTCCTTTCTATCTTCTGATGAAAAGTAATGAATGCTTTGTTTTGAATGCATTTTACTAGACTGCTATTTTAGTCATTCAATTCTTATTGTGTTTTTTGTCTCTTGCTTTATCCACTTCCTTCGCTTTATGTTTTCATAATGCTGTTATATTATTTTGTATGGGACATTTCTTGATCTATTTTCTGTACGTAACCACAACCCCGCCAGGGATGCAGGTCTGTAATGATTCTCCAAATAACGCCAGTCAGTGATGAATAGTAACTTAAAAATAAAATCCCCATAAACTTCCGAATAAAATAGTTCACTTGATAAAATATTTATCACTTTTTCAGTTATGATGAGCATTGTATCATATCAATATAAAAGTCAAACTTTAGTGATTTTGAAAGCCATCCTAGCAATTGCTAAATTAACGAATCAAACTTCAGAATTTTGACTGGGAAATGTAATTGGTTATTTCACCAGTTGCTACGACAGCCTTTAAAGTCACTCGTAAAACTTGGATTGATTTTTGAAGGCCACCCTAGCAACTGCTGACATGACCAATCAAGCTTCGATATTTCGCCTGAAAAAGTACTCCATAAAATACAGGAATATAATTGGTTGTCACATCAGTTACTACAGTGGCCTTGAAAGTCAACCTCAGTCAGGTTTTTCCATATATCTGGAACAGGTGTTGAGTCATTCCTGTTGATGCATTTATTAGGTATTGATTAGACAATCAAAGATTCGGTTATCAATCTCTCCCTCCACCCTTTAATGTTAGATTTAAGGATTTTCACCCTGTCTCATCCTATTTGTGTAGTTGTGTGTAATCGCAAGCATAGCTATGAGTGAGCATTTTCCTAAATTCCTTACCTTACTAGGATCTACCAGTTTTGACCTAGCTAGATTTTTGTGTTCGGATAGCCAAAATGACCATGGTTGACTACTTTGACCTACGTAGTTAACCTCGCATTCGTTGCAGGGGATTTGGTAAACTAAGTTATTCTGCTTAATTTGATCAATAGGATCTTGTAAACTACATATATTGTATCTGAGTTAGTTGTAGGCTTAAATGCCAATATAATCCCAGACAGTCTTGTTGAGAATCCTACATACTGTTTCTTATTATGTCACAAAGGAGGTGAGGAAATTAGGACTATATAAAGATGTCAAAGTTGTGTAGTTATCCTGATATGACTATGGACAATAAATTATGTCCGAAACGCGATATCCAGTGAACAATACTATTACACTGTATGACTACCATTAATTAATATTATTATTTGTCCATTGGGTTCCTAGTGGAATATAGGGATTCACTAGTACATCGACATTTCAATCTAGTCTACACAGTCTTGTCAACCTGCATACACAACTACCAACAAACTTTCATTTATTCCTCACACCATCTACTCCATGTCAACCTCGGACAACCAACTCATCCTTTCTCATTTAGCCTCTCTCAACCATCACACTGAAGCACTGACCACTTACTTGACTGAATTTGTGTTGAAAATTCCGATGTTGTTCAGGCTTCATCCTGATTGGAGTGGAGTGGAGTGAAGTAGATCTGTACACTGATTATTTTAAATCAATGAAGTCTTGTCTTTCCAATCGTGGCTTCGACATCCTCATCTGTGTTATCCATGCCATCTGCATTTGAAACGATACTGCCTTGCGTAGGTAGGTGAAAGACAAAACCTCCTTTACATTTCTCCCACTCATGGTGATTACTGCTTGTTGTTGTGTTGAAAATACTGTCCACTAAACAATATCGTATCATTCTGTGTTATACCGAATAGACAATTTAATATGAAATTATGCTTACTGTATCTTACTGTTCATATCCCACTCTTACATTCATGTCTTCTTATCTACAGTTTGCTCAGACTAGAAGATTTAAACTAACTGTTTTCATGAATGATTTTATTCAATGATTCAATGAGTATGAGTTCAATGACTTTCAAACAACTTGTTATAAGTTTAGTGATCCATTTATCCTCCACAACAATAATTCATGTCATAGTTAGGCAATATTTCCAGTTATTTTGATATATTCTTTGAAAACTTGATTACATTAATGATACTTTTTGTGAATAACAGTTATCAGTAGTTGAAGCATCATTGAAAAGTAGTGAACATTGAACACCTTTTTTTTAATTATCTTATTTAACAAGTTAAATATGTTTTACTAAAAGGCTTGACTTCTCTTGATTACAAGTTCACTAGTAAAGCAATGGTAAAGAAACTTATTTACTGTAATTAGTTTGTTTAATAACTTAACTACTAGGTGAAACAATACTTGTTCCCAGAACTTACCTCAATCAACCTATCAAGTCTCAGTAATTCGTCGAATATGGACAAATTTTAATCAATGAATTCTTGTCTATTGCTTCAATACTGATTGATGCCTTATAATTGACACATATGCTTTTTTATTCATTATTAAATTGGATCAAGTTTACTTGACATTAGAACCAGCTAGTAAGTAGTGAAGTAGTTAACTAGTCGAGGTTAAACTATGTAATAAATCAATAAAAATGAACGTATCATCGATTATTTCACCATTAGAATTCATTAAGTAGTAATAAACAAACAAGATAAGGAATGTAAAGTTCATTTTCAGTTCTTACGATTATTACACCATATTCTTATTAAACCTATAATAAATTTAGAAATTCATTTAATCAGTTTAAAATCAATTTTTTTAATTGTTTATATTAACAATGAATATATTTGTGTTAGTAATATCACCATAATAATCTCAATAATGAATATGAATGAATTACTTAACTATTGTTTATTACATTATATATATATATATATATATATATATATATATATATATATATATATTATATACATATTATTAGGGTATCTTAAAATTTCGAAACAACAACAGCACCTATCTCGTTGACTTTTCTATTCATTTGAACCAAATTATAATACACATTATGGATAATGTATGTTGGGTTCGAGCCTGTAATGGGAATGATAGGAATATCCAGTTGATGAGTCCCAAGCAGGACGAAACATCCAATGGATATTTCATTGATAGCCACTATCAAATAAACTAAATTAAAATAAATATTTAGGTGATATTGAGGTATCTACACAGGAGTTCATACACTACTACAAACTTATAAACTTGATCCAATTTAATAATGAATAAAAAATCATATATGTCATTTATAAGGCATCAATCAGTATTGAAGCAATAGACAGAATTCATTGATTAAAATTTGTCCACATTCGACGAATTACTGAGATTTGATAGGTTGATTGAGGTAAGTTCTGGGAACAAGTATTGTTTCACCTAGTAGTTAAGTTATTAAACAAACTAATTACAGTAAATAAGTTTCTTTACCATTGCTTTACTAGTGAACTTGTAATCAAGAGAAGTCAAACCTTTTAGTAAAACATATTTAACTTGTTAAATAAGATAATTAAAAAAAAAGGTGTTCAATGTTCACTACTTTTTAATGATGCTTCAACTACTGATAACTGTTATTCACAAAAAGTATCATTAATGCAATCAAGTTTTCAAAGAATATATCAAAATAACTGGAAATATTGCCTAACTATGACATGAGTTATTGTTGTGGAGGATAAATGATCACTAAACTTATAACAAGTTGTTTGAAAGTCATTGAACTCATACTCATTGAATCATTGAATAAGATCACTCATGAAAACAGTTATTTAAAATCTTCTAGTCTGAGCAAACTGTAGATAAGAAGACATGAATGTAAGAGTGGGATATGAACAGTAAGATACAGTAAGCATAATTTCATATTAAATTGTCTATTCGGTATAACACAGAATGATACGATATTGTTTAGTGGACAGTATTTCAACACAACAACAACAACAAGCAGTAATCACCATGAGTGGGAGAAATGTAAAGGAAGTTGTGTCTTTCACCTACCTACGCAAGGCAGTATCGTTTCAAATGCAGATGGCATGGATAACACAGATGAGGATGTCGAAGCCAAGATAGGAAAGACAAGCCTTCATTGATGTAAAATAATCAGTGTACAGATCTACTCCACTGCATGATCCACTCCACTCCACTCCACTCCAATCAGGATGAAGCCTGAACAACATCGGAATTTTCAACACAAATTCAGTCAAGTAAGTGGTCAGTGCTTCAGTGTGATGGTTGAGAGAAGCCAAATGAGAAAGGATGAGTTGGTTGTCTGAGGTTGACATGGAGTAGATGGTGTGAGGAATAAATGAAAGTTTGTTGGTAGTTGTGTATGCAGGTTGACAAGACTGTGTAGACTAGATTGAAATGTCGATGTACTGGTGAATCCCTATATTCCACTAGGAACCCACTGAAAAATAATAAGTAATGATGTCAGACTTGGTGAATTCCCTTCGACGAAGATATTTTGAAAACAAGTCAACATAGAGGGAGATTTTATTCATGAAGAAATCGAAATTAGGAAAGTGGAGGTAAGCAAATAGTCAATTAGCTTGTAATGCAACTAAACAGACCATGTTAGGATCAAATAACTGAACATGCACTCAACAGATTGCCAGCACTATCCATTTAAATGTTTTATACATTCTATCTACCTTTACTAAATAGTTTCAACGATCATTTATCAGTTTGGAATCTTTTTGGTCTGATTCAGACTGAACATCAGAAGGATTAGTGTTGACCTTTTTTATAGAGTACGTGCACATTATAGAAATGTAAAAGGGTAACTTACTTATTTATCAATTAATCAGATATGAAATCAGCTTAACTGTAAGCCTGAAATCCACTAAGAGAATTGATTTAATATAAACTTGAGGTCAACATGTTGATATCAAACGATTATTCATGCTTACTGGAAACACGTCCACTAATCTGATCATTTCATTAATCATTGATGACCAAAGTGACATAATTTTTCACTTGGCAACGAATTTCTCAGTCAAAAATGCTTTTCTATTCGAAAAATCGAAATTCCAAATTAGCTATGTTTATTTGGTTTATAACACACAGTATGGTGCATAAATTACCTTTGCTAGAAATCATATCAATGTAATCATACTACTTTCAACATCTGATTTTTATACTCCTGCCACTTCACACTCTTTGATTGTATTAGTAGTAAAATGTTTCACATCTCTGGCATACAAGTTGCATCATTCCTACTACACGTGTTGAGTTGGGTGTTGATTCGATGACCAAAGACTCAGTAATCAATCTCTGTCAATATCCATCTAACTATACTGGATTTAAGTACAGTGGTTTTATTCCACCCCGTGGTGTATGGTTTTGTGTTAATACATGCGTAACAATAGCCAAGTCTCCTTGTAGATTATTGATCTCACTGAGTCTGTTCTTCTATATTTAGCTAGATTCCTATGTTCGGCTATTCTAACTGACCCTGACCGGCTAGTTTAACCTAGGTACTTGACCTCGCAGTCATTATATAGAATTTGATAGATTGGATTATTTTGCCTAATTGGTTCTATCGGATCGTTAAGCCAGCCGACAAGGTTTATCTCTGAGTTTGTAGGTTTAAATGCGACCCTAATTCCAGCTTTGTTGACGATTCTATGTAAAGTTTCTGATGTACCTTCCTCAAAGGGTAACACAATAGAGGCTGTGAACTCCTTTCTACTCGTATTGTTGTTATTAGTCGTACTCGTGTGACTGTTTTTATTTCGTTTCTTGTGCGTTTGTACAGTAGCTGTAGGGTACTAACTGAATAATACTGATGTGTTCCCGTCAAATCGTTCATAGGGAAGTTTAAATATTTTGGTTGTATAAATTAGACAACTTTGTAATTATCCAAACCATGCAAGTTATGATTTTATTATGCACATGGATTAAGCTGCAGGTGTTGACCTCCTGAATATGCATATATCAGTGCACCTGGTGCTGCAGAGTAAGGTGTATCATGCCTATTCAGCGTCTGCTTTCTAAGCTCATTGTCCAACTACTTATTGACATACTTGTTATTCTCCGTTGTTTTGTTGGATCGAATTGTTCGACCTCTTACAAGTATGTCAATAAATAGTAATAACTACTACCCGTTGTACAGGAAGTGGCTATCGTTCATCCGTGGCATAGTGGATAACGCCTTGGCGTTTGAAGCAATGGGTACGAAGTTGGAGTCTCAGGAGGGACAACATCAGTGGGGTGTAGGTATATCCAGCTGACGAGTCCCAAATAAGACGAAACGCGCGTCCCTGATTCATCTGCTAGCCACAACCAACCAATTTATCATAACTACATTCAGTTAATATCGAGGTATCCGCACAGAAGCCCATATGCCAATAGAGGTATGCACAAGGAAGCTGAGTGATTCAACTCCTACTTCACATTCCTGCAAGTTGACTGTGATGCCATGTTCTTTAGTCTTTCGAATACGAGGTCCAAATGTTTGAGGTGAGTTTCGTCATCTGGACTCGCAATTAGACAGTCATCGATGTAGATGTGAACAAAATTTAAACCATGGAATACATCATCCATGAAGCGTTGGAATGTTTTTGCTGCATCCCGAAAACCAAATGGCATGCGCAGGAATTCAAACAAACCAAAAGGAGTAATAATGGCTATTTTCGCGATATCTTCCGCTGCCGTGGGTATCTGGTTGTACGCTTTGACCAAGTCGATTTTGGAGAAAATGTTCATTCTGCACAAAGTCGCAGTCAGGTCATAAACGTGAGGTATCGGGTAGCAGTCCGGTGTAGTTTTGGCGTTAAGCCTTCGGTAATCACCAGTTGGACGCCAGTCGTTGCTATCCTTTTTGGGAACCATGTGCAATGGCGATGCCCAAGGACTGTTCGACGGTTTGATAATGCCCAGTTCGAACATGTGGTCGAATTCACCTTCGCCGTTTTTAGCTTATCAGGGGCTAGACGGCGCGCTTTGGATGCCACAGGTGGACCTGTGGTTGCGACGTGATGCACAACATTGCTGGTTATGCACGGAAGAGTGTGCTTCGGTTGCTGCAACTCTGGATATTTCTCCGGAACTGCTTGGTAGGACGCGTCGCCTGATTGTTTAGTCCTAACGATGGCTAAACTCGGACCTACATAGGTGGTGCCGCCAATAGATAACTTTGTGCTGTTATCTATCAGTCGTCGACGGCGAGCATCTACGAGTAGATCGTAATGGTTTAGCAAATCTATGCCAATGATGGGCATAGAGACGTCAGCAAGGAGGAAGATCCAGTGGATAGGTTTGCGTAAACCTAAGTTGAGGTAGGCATACTGTCTCCCGAATGTCGCGATTGCCTTGCCGTTGGCTGCTTGAAGATTGAAGGATGGGTCAAGATGACGCTCCTTTGTCGTTGCTGGAAGAACGCTAACTTCTGCGCTGGTGTCGACGAGGTATCGAAATTCCGTTGTATTATCTGTGACGTAGAGCAAACGGCTGTTTCCGCCGGCTACGGTTGCTGTGAACACGTGCCGGCATGACAGTTTCCTGAGTTTGTGTCCTTGTTAAAACTGCATGGTCTCCGACATTTTGTGGCTTCGTCTCCATAAGTATTATGAAACCAGCACCATTTCCGGTTTTCCGCCCCGTTAGGTTTAGTTTTGTGGCAACCACGCGAGTTGCTGCGATGCGCCAAGATGCGTTTCTGTGAAGTGCTACGTGAACTAGGACTTCGAGATGGTAGCAACTGTTAAACAGAGTTGCACAGCTTGGTCACCTCTGAATCCTGGCTCTCTGGTTTGTCGCAGATAGAATATACGTTGGAGACGGGTCTGCTAGACATCTCCAGTATTTTATCTGCCGAGGCTGCCGGGTCACCGAATGGGACTGACTGCAGTGTCACCAACACGGTTTGCACCAGTTGTGGTAGTTTCGAGAGAAATAGTTCTCGGAAAAGGCCGTTGCCAAATGTTCGTGCACCGATTACTTCTCGCATGCGTGCGAGGACATCAGTAGTTGAGTGGCTGCCTAGCTCGATGTTACGAAGCAATTCGTCTAGACGTTGGCGATCTGTGAGATCGCTTTTCTTCAAGAGTGCGGCCTTTAGAAGTGCATAAGGGTTGCTTACTTCAGGATTAAACATGTTTGCTGTAACATACCTATTCAATTCTCGCGGTAGTGACCGTATGACAGCAAGAAATCGAGATGAGGATCTGAGACGCCCTGTTCTCGAAAATCGGCCTCGGCATACAGAAACCATGTTTCTGCATTTTCTGGCCAATATGGCACGAGTTGGGTCGTGTTCGAAGTCGGCTTAATACGAATAAGCTTGGGAGTGTGGTCGGGCATGGGAAAGTGTAGTAAATGGATATATAAATGTTATCGAAATGAAAACAATAAACAAATATAAAATGGAACAGGTTCACCAATTCAATACTTGTTATTGGTCGGGATATGTGATCACGTCGGGCTCACCAATTTAGGATTTGTCCTGGTGCGAACTTGACAGACACAAAGACCAGTCACTAATTATTCGAACTTGTTATGTACCCACGAATACGAGACCAAGGAAGAACACGATAGCGTAGTCGGATGGAATAGTATATTTGGATGGTTATGCCAAAATACCGATGCGTTCCAACTAACTGGCTAGAGAGTCGAATACGAGCAATGCAACGTAACAAGACGAGGATGCTTGACCGGGTGCCTTCAGCTTAGCGAGTCCAGTTAAACTATCAAGGTCAGCATCGATGTTGAATATCGTCAAACCCTAGGCTATTGATTTTGGGGAATTGTGTGAGGCTGCTTTGTTGCATGAACAAGTCAGTGGCGAAAACTTTAGATCAATTGCAGATGGACTTTACGAATACTGCAAAAAGCACTATCAACGTACATGACTTTCATTGAGAATTGTAGTAGAATGTAACTTCATTTGAGCTGATTTATTAAAGGTATCACACATTGTAGCAGTATCGTTTGCTGGATTACCTTTCCAACGCACTTTCTCGTCCATAGTCATCATACCAAGATAACTACTCAACTTTGAGATATCCCTCACATAGTTCTAATTTCCTCATCTCTTTGTGAGATTGTTAGTAGGATTTGCCATACATTCGGAACAGGTGCTCAGTTATTCCTGTTGGTGCATGTATTAGGTGTTGATTCAGTAAACAAGGATTCAGTTATCAATCTCTCCCTCCACCCTTCAATGTTAGTTTTAAGGATTTTCACCTGTCTCATCCTATTTGTGTAGTTGTGTGTAATCGCATGCATAGCTATGGATGAGCCTTTTCCTAAATTCCTCACACTACTAGGATCTACCAATCTTGACCTAGCTAGGTTTTTGTGCTAGGATAACCTAGTTGGTCCTGGTCAACTACTTTGACCTGTGTATTTGCCCTCACATTCGTTGTAAGGGATTCGGTAAACTAAGTTATTCTGCTTAATTGGATCGATAGGATCATTTTACATGCAAAGATTGTTCCCAAGCGAGTTTGTACGTTTAAATGCCACTCATATCCACCATTATTATTGAGAAACTTAAGTAATGTCTCTGAGGTGCCTTCTTGCATGGTGATGCTGTAGAAATTTTGAATCCTATCTTCACAGTATTGACACCATTATTGTCACCACTATTAACACCTATGTTACTAATATCGGTCATATTTTCCCAAGATTCCTGAGGAACATGTCAATTAATTTGGGAGGATCATTTTGATGAGTAAGGTGTGTTTAATGTATCTAGCCTTTTGCCTCAGATTTTCTTTTTTGCCGATTACTTTTCTGGCCTTATTGCTTCTACATTTTACCAAGCCAACAGGGTGAAAATCCTTAACAGTAACATAGTGGGGTGGTGGTTGTGGAGGTTGATAATTGAGTCTTTGTTTATCGAATCAACACCTAAGATTATGTACTGCTGGTTGACAACTTCAACACAGCGAGATCAGCTGCTTTCAGAAATCCAAGAATACTCAAATAAATAAGCCCAACAAGCCAGTGGAAAGAAAAAATA